TATAGATATACAGGCGTCTACGCCTCGCAAAAATGATGAAATTCCCAAAATTTCCAAGTTTTGAAAATGTGGTTTTGTTTAAGAGTAGGTGAAAAGATCGAAAAATTCGACAATTTTGATACACAAAAATGGTTCTCAGGAGCTCATTCCGCCCCGCACCCATCCACTTCAGTTGATCAGAATCAGGCATCACACTGAAAACTGGTTGGCGTCATAAGACTGCCTACACTACAAGTAAAGGAGTGACCTTTTTTCTCTCCTAGGAGAGCGATATCAGTGAAGCCAATTTGACGACTCTTGGGAGAGCGATATTAATTACATCGCTCGTTTGCAATAACTTTTCGCGACATTTTTGGTTACGAATAAGACTAATTTTGAGTCATTTTCGCAAACGTCGCTCGGTTAGGGTCGTTTCTGCGACATTTTCTGTTACGAAGAAGACACATGTTCAGTCATTTCGCAAAAATCGCTCTAACAGAGCGATGACGCCTATACGTCGCTCTATTCGGGAAAGAAAGGTCACTCTTCGTTTTACAGTGTAGAAATACAGTTATCACGTCTGACGCTCTTGCGTTTAGACAATTAGCAGCCAGTAACTCTTCATGGGGAATTCGTTTGTTTCCAGGAAATAAACGACGTCTTAGGTGATGACCGAGGGCGTTCCCTGCAGCACTCGGATTTGAGCAACATGCAGTACACTGAACGGGTGATCAAGGAGGTGCTGCGCTTCTTCCCCAGCGTGCCCATGTTTGGGCGCCACATCACCGAGGACCTAACCCTGCCGTCTGGCTTCACCATTCCGCGGGGCTGCGTGGCGGGCTTCTGGCTGCCCTACATGCACCGGGACCCTCAGTCGTTCCCCGAGCCGGAAAAGTTCGACCCAGACCGATTCCTCCCGGAGAACATTCGTGGCCGCCACCCTTTCGCGTACTTGCCATTTAGCGCCGGACCCAGGAACTGCATCGGCCAGAGGTACGCGATGATGTTCCTGAAGACGGTGGTGGCCGCCTTAGTCCCCCGCCTGCACTTCGAGCTTCCTGATGACGGCCACAAGCGCTTCGAGGATATCCCCATCACATTTAACCTCACCATATCCATAAGCGGTGGCGCCAAAATCCGCGTACGCCGGTGTACTACCGAAAACCAATGAAAACCAGCAGATCTGTGGTCTGGTCATATTTTCGCATTGCTCTGCGAATGCTCACACTCTTAAACCTGCACTGATTTATTTCAAAGTAAATAACTTTGTTTTACGCAGCAGAGGATTGCTGAAAAATTTGTTACTTATTGTGTATATTTTTGTATGTAAACTTACTGATGAAATAAAAAAATTGTCAGTTATGTACAAAGGAATTATTTCGTATAGTTTATGGAAAAGGTTGTCAGTAGCTTATAAATGTTTTTAAGCCACGGGAATACTGACAAAGGGTTATAAAAATAAAAACTCAGTTACAGGATGAGTACGCACTGACAAGGGGACTTAGGCAAGTGTAAATTCCCGATCGTGCCCAAACTCGGTATATTTGCTTCTTATCTATGTAGGTGACGAAAGCCGACCAAATTTTTTCCTGAGAGTCATGTGCCGAAACTCCCTATAAAAGCGTATAAATTCACAAAATACAAATTTCTAGTTTTGTACAAATATTAAGTGATATACTGACTCAAAATGAGTGATTTTGGGGGGGTAATTCCTCTGACACTTTTCGATTTGAGGCCTCCTTCCGTCATTTTTGGCCCAAATTCAATATTTTTTTCATTATTTCCTCCCCTAAAGTACCCTAGAAATTGACTCTCAGGAAAAAATACTACCGTCAGTCGTCATCAACATAGATAAGAAACAAAAATACCGAGTTTGGGCAAGATCAAGAATTTACACTTGCCTAAGCCCCCTTGTGAGTAGATTATGTTCGGTACGCCAGACGATGTCTCGTGATGTCTCGCGAAGCTCTGTTACGCTGGGATGGGACGCACCTTATTAAAATGGCGTGCTACATGCACCGATTTTCCCCCATGAAAAACGGCTGTTTTTGAGCCAGGGCCGCGTGTCGTGTCGTTTTCGCGAAAAACATACAGATTCATTCACTTTCAGATCTGTACTGATTTATTTCTTTATAGGGCAGAACACGAACTGAGGCGCTGCCTGGGATTAGCCTACCTGCGGGGCGGGGGCCGGGCTCTAAACGACGAGCCCGAACTGAGGCGCTTTGCCGCTTGGGTGCCCCCCCCCCCTCCGGCCGCTGGAACTGAGGCGCTAGGGGCCTCAGAACTGAAACTGCTACGGGATAAGTCAGTGTTCACGTAGTGTTTCTATCTTCACAATATAAAGACAAACCAAAACTAACGAAACATAATTTAACACAGAAAATCAGTAACCATACTGCCAATGAGAATTGCACTCCGCTTTGTTTTTAAATAAATGGAAGCAAACCTAATTTAGTACAGAAAATCAGTTATGGTACTGCCAATGCAGCGTTGCACTCTGCTATCACTCCGCGCAACGCCTTGGCATGAGTCTCTTTCTGAGAAAGACCGATATTCTTTTAGATTTCGTCTTCACTAACAAGCCAAATAAATACAGTAATAAGCAAAGATAGCGGGAAAACGCCAGGGCCCTCTCCTCCTCCGGGTACCAAAACCAGAAGAAGGGATGGGGGTGGGGCCGAAGGACAGCCGTTGCGAGGGGGAAATCACTTGCGAAATAGTTCGTACACCTTCATCCGAAATACTCCGAAATAGAGGCGAAATGGACGCGAAATAGAGCGAAGCAAAGACGAAAAAGACGCGAAATAGTCTGTGAAATAGTCGCGAAATACCCCTGAAATACTCCGAAATAGCGCGAAATAGCCCGAAATAATCCGAAATAGGCGGGAAATAGCCGAAATGGCAGGAGAAATAACCGAAATGGTAGGAGAAATACCACGAAATAGTCCGTACGGTACGAACCCTAGTGATTCCCCCCTCGAGCCGTTGATGGGCGGAGCCAGTGCACTACACTGCCAAGCGAACTTGGTCAAATTTACGGTGAACGAAAAAGCCGCGAATCCGAGCGCGAATCTCAACTAGGATCCAGTAATTGAACATCGTCATGCAGTGGATGGCGTCGAGCCAACGGCGGTTACGCTGCACACTCTGACAGGGAATGGAATTGATTTGTTGGGTACTGCTGTGCTTACATTGTGAGTGGGAAAGAAGTGTTTGCAAAATACATTTTATGTTGCGGCTGCGCATCAATTATCCGCAGATGGTGTTTTGGCCTAGACTTCCTCACGCGTCATGGATGCAAATTAGTGACTTGTCCGCACGTGCGGGAGGGCCCGGAGCTGCAGCCGAGACGGCTTCAAATCACCTCCGTCCTATACTGATACACAGACGTGTCACCTCTGTCGGAACGACTAGTTTCTCTATGGACCCACGCCTAGATTGACACGCCGTCACTTTTTAGCTTTAGAAAGGATTTATGAGCCTGGGGTCGAAAGGAGCCTAAACCCAAAGTCCCCGTCACGACAGACGCCTTAGAGAGAAGCCGTGGCCTACCTCGAAGGCGTCCATGCGACAAATCGTGTCGACGAATCGTGTCGCGCCGACAAGTGGTAGTAGACGGCGTTAGGACGACTGCGGACATGACCTGGCTCCCGAGGGTCAGGAGTGACAACTGCGGACATCGCGTGCGGGAGGGCGCGCTCTTCGGACGCGGCCGGCCGGCCGGCCGAGTGTGACCACTGCGGACGTCCATGGCGGAGGGGTTGCCTACCTCCGCTCCGGCAGGCGCTCGGGGCGGGACCGACACGTCCACAGTAAATCCGTCCACAGAATTTGCGCGATGAGAAAAC